TAAAAAAATACAAAGTTTGTATATATATATATATATATATATATATATATATATATACACACACACACACACACACATAAAATGTCTAATGTATAATAAACAAACATATGAATGAATAAATAAATTCCATGAAATCACATTTTCTTTTCAATTATGTACTGTTTATTTACTAAAATCGTGCAAACAAATCGAGTAAATAGTGCACTATTAGTGCAAAATAACAGCTTATTAGTGCAAATAGTGCATATAAACTGGGTCAATAGAGCAAATAGTGCACATAGTGCAAACAGCACACTATTAGTGTGAAATAGTGCAAATATATTGAGTAAATGGAGCAAAGAAATCATTTATTTTCAGCATAAAATATATTCAGTTTTACTTTATTATCATTGAGACACTATTATAGTTTTTATTAAGATTTGGAATTAGTTTATTTCATTTTAGTTTGACATTTTTATTAGTCTATAAATAAAACGTAACAAATAATTAAAAAATATCTACAGTATATATTTTTATTTCAGTTTTAGCTCGAGCTATTTTAATAGTAGTTTTTAGTTAAACTAAATGAAAATGTTGCCTCGTCAACTAGCTGAAATAAAATTATTTCAGATATAAGCAATATACATGCATACTTTTTTCAGTTAATGTTTATTTTAACGTTTTAGTAATATTTTTAGACATCATTTATAATTTTTGTAAATTTCACACTGTTTTGGCATGTAATACTCCACTTGCCTAAATCTGTGTGTGTGTGTGCGTGTGTGTGTCCACGCGTGTGTGTGTGTGTGTGTCCACGCGTGTGTGTGTGTGTGTCCACGCGTGTGTGTGTGTGTGTGTGTGTGTGTGCGCGTGCGCGTGCGCATGTGATTACCGAGCGTTTCTCTTCGGGCTGAGCGTGACTCCCGTCTCTAGTTTGATGTCTATAACACAATGCTCCGGTTGAATTGCCAAACCACACAACTGAATGTCCTGAGAGTCTGCAGAACCCACACGAGTAATGTGTTCCTGCACATCAACACACACACATCAATGAAAACACAACACCTCATCCACACCAACTTAAAAAAAAAAAAAACAGCTGATAGTCAATCAACCATTTATGCATGCATACGAATAGTTTTATATGAAATATTCAAGCAGAGACGTAACACTGCTTTTTATTAATTAGTGTCTGTACCTTTAAGTAATAGACGAGCAGCTCGTTGAGAGCGGGGTCTGCGTTCAGGTTGACCAGGAAGCATTTATCATCAATGACTCTGATCCCAGACGACTGCAGAGAAATTCCCAAACTCTCCAGCTGCTTCTGTCGCTCCTGAAGAACCAAACACACTTCAGTTCAGAGGAATGTCAACCAGACTTCTGTGTTTTGTTGACTGTCCTCAGGGGTTTTATCATTTCTTTAAATGCAGAAGATCCTGACAAAACTCCATGTGGTGACATGCCCACAATTAAAACAATTATGCACTGAAATAGTATTTTGTACTCCAATAATTTTTGTTTTATTTTTGTCCCATCATGTTTTCATTACGAGCACCACAAGGTCCCCCCCCCCCCCCCCCCAAAAAAAAAGAAGATAATTTTATATATATAAAACATGATGGGACAAAAATGTATTAGACAAACGTTTATTAAAAATCAATCAAATGTGACCCTGGACCACAAAACCAGTCATAAGGGTCAATTTTTTGAAATTGAGATTTATACATCATCTGAAAGCTGAATAAATAAGCTTTCCATTGATGTGTGGTTTGTTATGATAGGACAATTATTAAAAAATCTGGAATCTGAGGGTACAAAAAATCTAAATACTGAGAAAATCGCCTATAAAGTTGTCCAAATGAAGTTCTTAGCAATGCATATTACTAATCAAAAATTAAGTTTTGACATATTTACAGTAGGAAATTTACAAAATATCTTCATGGAACATGATCTTTACTTAATATCCAATTAGTTTTTTGGCATAAAAGAAAAAGATCGATAATTTTGACCTATACAATGTTTTTTTGGCTAGGAAAATCGCCTATAAAGTTGTCCAAATGAAGTTCTTCGCAATGCATATTACTAATCAAAAATTAAGTTTTGACATATTTACAGTAGGAAATTTACAAAATATCTTCATGGAACATGATCTTTACTTAATATCCAATTAGTTTTTTGGCATAAAAGAAAAAGATCGATAATTTTGACCCATACAATGTTTTTTTGGCTAGTGCTACAAATATCCCCCAGCGACTTAAGACTGCTTTTGTGCTCCAGGGTCACAAATAACAGTTGTCAAAAAAGGCAATTAAATCACTTAAATAAACAATTAAAATAAATTAATAATTAATTTAAAACTATTTCAATAAATGCTTATTTGACATAATCTACCCAAATCACAATCTACCAATGCAGGTAGTGTCAAAATGGCCAAACATCAGGCAATTAATCTTGTACGAAAAGATGTACATTTATGTAAATATGAAGGGATCAAAAAATAATTATAAAAAGCATTAAATAAAAATGAATAAATAAATAAATGTGAAAGGGGCAAATAATCATGTAATTAAATAATTAAATGTTTGATTAATAATTAAAATTATACTTAATATTTACTCAATTCACAAAAAATACATCTATATACAATAAAAAATCTTGATATATATGCACGTGTGTGTGTTTAATACCTGTGCGATCTCCTCAGTCTTCCTGAGTTTCTCCTCCCAGCTCACAGTCATCTCCTGGATCAGCTTCTCGGACTCCTCCAGCCTCTCTTTGAGCTCAGGAGCTTTCATTGACTTCACACACACACACACACACACACTGTTGAACGCTGTTGCTGGAGGTCACACAGCAGGCAGGTGTTTGTGTGCAGTACCTCAGCCTCGGTCAGCTGGCTGCGGAGTTTCTCCACCTCCTCTCTCAGCTCTCTGATGATTCTGGCGTTTGGATCTTCATTAATCACGGCGTGATTAACGATGCTTTTGGCCCGGTCGGCATACCGTAGTGTAGACAGAGTCTCGTCGTAGTTGTCGGCCGCTGGACTCACCGTTGCAACCATAGCGGTGCGACTGTTGCCTCCTAAACTGTCCTGATGTGCAAACAAAGAGGAAAGTACATCAGAGAGTTTCAGTGAAACAAAGCCAAACCTATGGCATCATTTCCATGGAATTCTTAGCAAATAACAACTCATATGAACCTGCTTTTTGAGATTTTACTTAATATTTACTCAATTCACAAAACTTTGGAAAAATGAATCATTGAGCGAATCGTTTGGGAGTCGTTGACCGAGTAAGGTAAAAATAAATGCATATTATAAGACAATGAAAGTGTTTTTTGACCTTGCATGCATGTCAACCTGTTGTTGGGGACTCCCAAAACCAAAATATGAACCTTTCATTACCCGTAATAGGGGCACTTTAATGGTGACAGCCAATTTGAACACTGCATTTGAAAAAAGCTGCATAAATATTCTTTAAAAAACTATCTCATTTTGTGTTTTACAGCTAAAATTACAGCATACAGGCACTGAATGACATGACAGTGAGAAAATAATGGACATTTTGGACTAAACTACTCCTTGAAGACTTCCAGATTCTTAAAAGTACAAAAATAAAATGAATCATCACCTTCAGTAACCACGTGAGCACGGAGTCTCTGTACGGAACAAATTTACTCTTGTTTTTTCCTGCGCCCTGCTCCGCCAACGCCGAGATCACCAGTCCAAGAGTTGTGAGGGACCTGAACACAAAAACATTATGACAAGAACACATCTGAATGTGTGTAAATGATGGAGTGTTGGTGTGAAACCAAATAAATAATACTAAATAAATACATTAAATTAAACGATTAAATGATTGATAGAAATAAATTACAAATCGCTCAATTTAATCAACCTTATATCAATATGATGGGACCAAAAATGTATTAGAAAAAAATTATAGACAAAAGAATAAATCAAAAAATGACCGAGAAAGCAATTAATTATTCCAATAAATAATTAAAATGAATAAATTAACTAAAAATAGTTTAAATAAATACTTATTCACAAATTCTTCACAAAAAATAGAGAGGGTCAAAGAAAAGAAACCGTCAAATATCAGCCAATTATTTAAATTAATTAACTTTTGTAAATATGAAGGGAGCAAAAAATGATTGGAATTTTAAATAAATAAATAAATAAAGAGAAAATAATGTAATTAATATTTAAAATTAATTCATTAAAAATTATTTTAACAAATTCTTCCTTTACATTTTTACAAAAATCAAATAGCAAAATATCAGCCGATTAATCAAATTAATTACTTTAGGAACAACAAAGTAAAAAATCCCCTGCAAGATATAAACAAACGTGTGTGTGTGTGTGTGTGTGTGTGTGCTGTTATTGTTTTGGCCTTCTTTGAGTCTTTCTCCTCCAGCTCCAGTTTTATCAGCTCTCTCACTGCCGGCCAGATCCACCAGACTGAGTTTACTCACCTTCTCTCCACTCGTCTGAAATAACACCATCCACACAATATCACTAGTTGCACCAAACTGAACGACAACAAAAATCCATACGTTTAATTTGACATTTTTTGAAAATGTGATGCTCAGTGCCAAAAAAACACTAGTATTGTGCTAGTCATTAAAAAATCCCCTGCAAGATATAAACAAACGTGTGTGTGTGTGTGTGTGTGTGTTTGACCTGTTAATGTTGCTGCCTTCTTTGAGTCTTTCTCCTCCAGCTCCAGTTTTATCAGCTCTCTCACTGCCGGCCAGATCCACCAGGCTGAGTTTACTCACCTTCTCTCCACTCGTCTGAAATAACACCATCCACACAATATCACTAGTTGCACCAAACTGAACGACAACAAAAATCCATACGTTTAATTTGACATTGTTTGAAAATGTGACGCTCAGTGCCAAAAAAACACTAGTATTGTGCTAGTCATTTTCGCACTGGGAAACACCATTTGCATGCTCTCCTGAAAACATATATAGCTAGTTATTTTAAATAGATGAGGGAGAGGTCAGTCTGCATCTCACCCCAGTCTTCAGGTCTCGGAGCGTGTGTGTCAGAATGATGTTGAAGACAGCGTGCGAGCGGCTGCTCTCCTCGTTCATGTTCGTGGCCGCCACAGTGCGGGATTTATTCCCCTCCGACATCAGAGACTCGATGTCCTGAAATACAAAACCAAAGCTGGTCAAAATCTTCCCGCTTCAGCACTGAGAGCGTTAACGTAGGTGAAGGTGTCGGAAGAACCTTGTAGCTGGTCACAGCGAGGCGGGACAGACCGTCCACATACGGCCCCAACACCTTATGCTCCCGGACCCTCAACGCCTGCCGGCTCCTGAGAGGAACATCACACCAATTCGTTTAGAAGGACAACAATGAGTGATTTTTACAGGTTTTTCATGACTGATGGAACACAGACAATCAAATATGGGCTTTAATTGGAAAACGATCTGCATGTAAGCAGATCTAGGGACTCACCCTTTGGGATCCAGAAGGTCTCGCACCTTCTCGTTGTAGATCTCCATGTAGGACACCTCCACGGTGAAGCTCTCGCCCTCCCTCTGCTCCTGTACGCTGCGCTGGAACAGAGAACTGCAGAGTCGCGGGATCAGACCCGGCTGCTCGGCCGCTCCCATCATCGTGTACGACTTTCCTGAGCCTGCAGACCATCCAGATAAAGCGTGAACCAATCAGAGATCAGATTTTCGTTTAAACCCTTATAGCCTACTGATATGCAAATGCCTCTAAATGATAAACACGATCAAAATGTTGCAGAACGGACTGAAGCAACTTAAATTTACTTGATTATCCATACATTAATTTGATCATTTAAATTCAATAAATGAATTTTCATTTTAAAATGTGAGTCTCAAATCTGAGGCTTTTGAAGAACGTTCGTTTCCAGAAGCTTTACGTTCACTGTTGCTCAGTGGAGGAAGGATCTTCCCAAGCCTTGAAAACAGCTCAAATCTCTTCTTTTAAGGAATGATTTGTTCATTTCTCAATCATCATTGTATTGCATTGCATAATGTTTTTGAATCTACAGAGGTTTGATCACAAAACTAAGCATTTCAATCTCATCTAACTAAGACATATTATTGGAGACATAGAGTGACAACTGATTTTTATATGCATTTTTTGTAAGTAATCTTATAAAGTGTTATAAAGACCACATTGATTTACATTACCATCAGAATTTCATCTCAATTTTGGCATACAAATATCAGCACCTGCATGTTATCTGAATAAAAGTAAGGCGTCTTTTCCTCCTTGAGTGTAAACTCCATATTCTCACTATATATTATATTATATGATATATGCAAACTTTTCTTTTTAGAATTTTTCAATATTTTGTCTAAAGGTTAAAAACTAAGTTTTTCTAACTATTATTTCCAATGCAAAGCTTTACAGGGTTACATTTGTTTTTATTTGCTTTAGTGTTTTGTTTGATGCACATCAAGCAGATATCCAAGAGTGAGTTATGTGCTGGGAAACAGTAAGTAGTTCTGCTTAAACCTTTCATGGAGACTAAAATAGAATTTTCGCATAGAGAGCTTTCCAGCAAATCTAACTGTACCTGTTTGCCCATATGCAAATATACAGGCGTTGTATCCTTGGAAAGCGCTGTCCAAAAGACTCTCTCCAAGACACTGAAACACCACATCCTGACCTATGAGTTACACATGAGAACACTGCAAATGAGAATAACTGGCATGCATTATAAAATCAATTCAAAATACAGGAATACTTCACCCAGAAATTAAAATGAACTCACAATCAGGCCATCCAAGATTAGGATGAGTTTGTTTCTTCATCAGATTTGGAGAAATGTAGCATTGCATCAGCGTCTCAGCAATGGATGCTCTGCAGTGAATGGGTGCCGTCAGAATGAGAGTCCAAACAGCTGATAAAAACATCACAATAATCCACAAGTAATCCTCACCACTCCAGTCCATCAATTCATGTCTTGTGAAGCCAAAAGCTGCGTGTTTGTAAGAAATAAATCTATCATTAAGGCATTTCTGACTTCAAGCCATTGCTTTCGACTGAAATACAAGTCTTTTATCTATAACATTGCCTTCACCAGTCGTCTGGTCTGAATCAGGAGCGAAATCCACGCAGATCAAGCACCGATTACAAGCAATAACAGATCTATACAAATGTGTGGGTGGATTTTTAAGCAAGGGGATGGACTTTTTCAATGGAGAAAGCGTTACTATGGATTATGGACTATTTTAGAAAGAAACAACATGTTTGACATTAAAAACGTCTTAACGATGGATTTGTTTCTTATAAACATGCAGCTTTTCACTTCATCTATCATTAAGGCATTTCTGACTTCAAGCCATTGCTTTCGACTGAAATACAAGTCTTTTATCTATAACATTGCCTTCACCAGTCGTCTGGTCTGAATCAGGAGCGAAATCCACGCAGATCAAGCACCGATTACAAGCAATAACAGATCTATACAAATGTGTGGGTGGATTTTTAAGCAAGGGGATGGACTTTTTCAATGGAGAAAGCGTTACTATGGATTATAGACTATTTTAGAAAGAAACAACATGTTTGACATTAAAAACGTCTTAACGATGGATTTGTTTCTTTTAAACATGCAGCTTTTCACTTCACAATATGTTAATTGATGGACTTGAGTGGTGTGGATTATTGTGCTGTTTTTATCAGCTGTTTGGACTCTCATTCTGACGGCACCCATTCACTGCAGAGCATCCATTGGTGACGAAGTGATGGAATGCTACATTTCTCCAAATCTGTTCAGATGAAGAAACAAACTCATCTTCATCTTGAATGGCCTGAATGTGAGTACATTTACATTTTTAGGTGAACTATTTCTTTAAAAGATTCAATTTAACTTTTTCAAATGCCTTGAAGTGCAATGTCCTTTTATTTCCATTTGTAAGTGTGTTACTGTAACTGAGATTTTATTTATTATCATTCTAAATAATAATTAAAAAAAAGGTAATGAACAAATGCAGCAACTGCTTGAACCTTTACAAAAGAGCTGATAAACCACAGATGAACAGCTGATTTGATAAAGCAGTTTTACAGGTTTGTCTTTTCTTCAGAAAAGTTCACAAGGAAACACAAGCAGGGAATATTGATGTCTATAAGAGTTTCTATTGCCATCATAAATGACCCCTGATGATTCAGATCACTGCAGTATAAACACATTACAGAGGCTTAGTGATAGTTTTAACAAAAGGGTTGGTCATTATAGCAAAATGTATTATTTTGAATGTCAACAGACCTGCAAATTTGGCTGCCTCAGCTTCATCCATAGACCAGAAGCAATAATCATATGCGAAAACCTAAAACGAAGTAATGCAGATGTCTAAAGATTGTGTAACAGATGCACGTCACAAGTTTTAATGAGCTGTCGAAATCCAGTTAAGTTACACACTTTCTGTCATGCACATTATTCATGATAGAGTGATTGCAATGCATTTGTTCACATTAATGTATTGCGAGACCTTACCTTTGGTTTGCTCCTGCGTTCACAAAAGGAAAGAACGAAAAACAACAAAAACACAATATTAGAATATACAGTATATATGAAATGAATACTTTTATTCAGCAAGGATCCATTAAATTAATCGAAAGTGAAAGTAAAATCATTTCGATTCTATTTCAAATGAATCCTGAACATGATTTCTGCTGTTGGCGGGAGGACCACACAAAGTCTTGAAGCATTTCAGGAAGATTTCAGAAATGTTGGCCTTATTTCAGTCATTATGAGAGAATTACACAATTAAACCATCCTCTCTGAACCTCCTTCATCTCACATTTTCTTTAATTAAATTCCACCCTGATATCATTTGCATGACAAACAGCATCTGCATGAGTGAGCTGTCTCTACATGTGCTTCATAATGAAAACACAACCTTGCTTTGAAAGATTATGGAATTTGAGTAAACTTTCTTGCATAAGCCTGTAAAACCTGTTTGCACGCCAACGCCGCAAACCGCTGCAAGTTACGGCAGAGGTCTGAAACATGACTAGATCAGCACTGAGAAAAGCTGGATACGACCGAGGAGACTCCTGCATGAGGAAAGGCTTGTGGAGAAAACAGGCACACCCTTTGTAAAGAGACCAGGAGCAGAAATGGAAGAGGAGACAGAGAAGGAATGACGGAAAAACAGATAAAAATCCTCCAGCACTGGCTGGCAACTGGCTGGTCTTTAATATTACGAACATGCATGTGCGGTTTGGTGCATGCTGACAGACGACCAATGCAAAACCGACAGCAGATTTCAGCTGAAGGACAGACGAACCGCTGGATCAGTGACTGAGATATGAAACACTGCTGACTGATGAAGGCTCTGCTGCACAACCAACAAACTCCTCTTTGTGTTAATGGAGTAAACTGCTAAAATCCACAGCATGCAACATATGCATGGATTAAAACACCAGACAACCGTTATCTGGTTAAAAAAAAGGTACAAAATAACAAGAATAATGTTATAAATACACAATCGATAAGTAAAATTGTTTACATTCATCCAAAGTAAATGCAGCAGCATTATCAAGATAACACAGTTTTTAATGCACGACCAATCTGAAAGGAATAGTGCACAGAAAAATGTCAGAATTTACTAACCTTTATGTTGTTCCAAACCTGTATGAGTATTGGTAGCCAAACAGCTGACGGTGCCCATAGACTTCCATAGTGTGGAAATAAACACTACTGAAGTCAACTAGTCACATTCTTCAAAATATCGTCTTTGGTCTTCAACCCTACAATGCCCTACAAACCACCCAAGAACATCTTAGCAACTGCCTAACCCCTAAAAACACCTTAACAACCACATAATGCCTTAGAAACCACTCCAAAATCTTATCAATGGCCTAGCAACACCTTAGCAACTGCCCAGAATACCTTAACAACCACATAATGCCTTAGAAACCACTCCAAAAATCTTATCAACAGCCTAGCAACACCCTAGCAACTGCCCTGGACATCTTAACAACTACATAATGCCCTTGAAACCACTGAGAAAATGTTAGAAACAGCCTAGCAACCACCTAGAACACCCTGACAACCACATAATGCCCTTGAAACCACTCCAAAAATCTAAGTAATGGCCTAGCAACAACCTAGCAACTACCTGGAACATATTGTACTTATATATATATATATAAAATGAAATATAATGTCCTAGAAACCACTCAGAAAATCTTAGCAACACCCTAGCAACCACCCACAACACCTTAAAAACCACATAATGCCATTGAAACCACTCAGAAAACCTTAGCAACTGCCCAGAACATCTTAACAAACCACATATTGCCTTTGAAACCACTCAGAACACCTTAACATTTGCCTGGCAACGACCTAGCAACCACCCAGAACACCCTGACAACCACAAAATGCCATAGAATCTACCAAGAACACTTAAGTATCTGCCTAGCAACCACCCAGGCCAGAACAGCTTAAAAAACACACACAGCAACACTACAGAAACCATACCAGTAACCACCTAGCACTCCGAAAGTTTTAGCAACTCCTAAGGAACACACAGTGAACATATAACTTTCAAACGTCAAGATATTTTTATTGTAAACTGCGAGTGAAAACTTTGACCGTTGAACATTCAAAGTTTTCTTTTCTGAAATGCCTACAGTATTTGTATTCACAGGAAGTAAAGCAGATTTGTAAAGCTATGTGGTGGTGCTTGGTAAACGAAAGGACAGCACACATCCGCGCAGCTTTGTTTTTAGGTTGCCCGAAAAGACCCAAAGAGACATGAGTAATTTAGTTTCTTGGGTTTTTAATCACGAGTATCCAGGGTTACCTTTGACCTGCCAATGAACCTTCACTCGTTTCTATGGACACTGAAGGTCAAAGTAGAAGAGGAATGTAGAGTAAGAAAGAAAATATCAGTGGGAGAGAGAGAGAGATTCTGTTTCTTTACTCTGTGATCAGACTCATCATGATTTCACCTGGTGAGCAATTAATAGCCACTAGAAACTCCTCAGAACACCCTAGCATTGTTCTGCAAAGGCAAGCAGCACATGTTCTTCAGATCTGATTACCCCAGTAGTTTGAGGCTTGTCAAGACAGATATAAAGATTGGTCATTTTTGCCAAATACAATCACACACCCACACAAACACACCCCAGTTTACCTGCTGTCGCCCTTTCCCAGGTTTCCATTGGCCGGGTACAGGATGGTCTGATTTCCTTCCATGTCCACTACACATTTTGTCTTTAAGTCTCGTTCTATAAAAAGCACATTAATAACAATCAATCAAAAACTGGTCATAATATAGTTTGCATCATCGCTCACAAACAGCATTTTATATGCGATATTTCAACTACTGGCATTTTTTTTCTTAAATGATATATGTAATTGAACAAAAAACTGGCATTTGCATCATTTTTTAAATATGTTTGTTTATAAATATGAAGAGTTAATTTGCAAAAACTCTAAATAAAGTTTTTAACAATTCTCAAAAATCATGTTTTTTTCATTGTGCATTCCAATTAAACTCAGTCAAACTGCAGTTGAGTTATTTTGACTAGGTTAAAAAATTACTTAAAAACAGCTACCTAACAAAATAAAAACATGATAACGTAATAAAAAAGTGATCTGTTTCTGCAAATAAACTCTTCATATATATATATATATATATACACACATTTTAAAAAATACAGCATGCAAATGCAATATAAACAAAGTTTATGCATTTTAAACCAGATTTTTTTCATTTTCATCATTCCGACACCCACATAAAAAGAAGGTTTGCTTTCATAAATGAGGATCATAAATTAAATAAGGGCCACAGATCAAGATCAGAATCAAACACACAGTCTCTAAACATTAAACACACTCACCTCTCCTGTTCATGGGTCGCACCCGGACCGCCACTTTCACATTAGACTCATTCACAGCACTTTCATCCATCATGAAGATCTTCTGCACCTGTCTCACCAGTTCCTGTGTTATTACGAGCAATAACTCCATGAAACAAACATGCAACTTATTTATTTTTTACAAATTATGAGCTTAATTTGTCAAACAGCTCTGAATAATCTTTTTAACATTGTAACACTGTTTCAAGTGTTTGACCTGTAACAAAGTTCCAAAGTGACAAATTTAGGAATGCAATTTAAGAACTTTTAGGTTAGAATGCAGTAAAACCTAGTTTGACCTGTTCATGGAGAGTGTGACTGCTCGTTATGGAGTTCAGTGTGTGTCATTCCAGCAGTGATCATGTGGAACTGCTACAGATTAAATGACCAGAACAGAGACATTGACTCATCCAGACCGGAATAAAACACTTCCAGACCGACCTACGGAACAAACATCAAACACGAGTTCATACAAGAGAACGCAGCGATACATGCACCTGCTTCATTTCCTGATCTCTCGCCATCTTACCGTCTTAAACTTCAGCGGATCTTCAGGAGTGTCTGAGCAGGTGAATCACGCACATACGGGACCGACGGAGCGTAAACACAACGAGCAGGTAGAGCCAGACCGTCGCTCAAAGCATGGCTCAAATGGGCGGGGCCTGCCGGTGTTGTGCCGAATTCTGCACCCCTGCCAGATTATGCACCCCCTTGTTGAAGTCGCTACCTGATTGCCTAATCCCAACCCCACCCCTAATCCTAACCCCTCCCCCACACCTACTCCTAAACCTACCAATACTAGGGGGTGCATAATCTGGCAGGGTGCAAATTTCGGCACTACACCGGCCCGGAGCTGTTTCTGAGAACTCAAAACTTCAATTGAGTTACGTTGGGTCTCTATGGGGTTAGATCGCTGCCAAAATTCTGCACGTGAAAGATCATATTTTGAGTGCACAAAAATGCAAAAATTTTCCAAGCACATTTTACCAATTCCAAACAACATAAATCTTAATAACTACTATTGATCTTGAATTTAATCACTTATAACCGATATATAATTGTTCATGAAGGCTGGAAGTGAAAAACGCCTTATATTCAGGTGTGCATAATTATTAAAGGGGTCATATGATGCGATTTCAATTTTTCCTTTCTCTTTGGAGTGTTACAAGCTCTTGGTGCATAAAGAAGATCTGTAAAGTTGCAAAGACTAAAGTCTCAAATCCAAAAAACACAGATTACTCAGCTGGGAAAACATGGTGAAATTTTCAAATCTATGTCTTGTTTATAAAATTATTCATGGTTTATCATCCCCTCCTCTCCATCAGTTTGTCAACATCCGAACAGCTGATCATAGCAGAACCAGAGGTGCAGCGAGGGGAGATTGTATCATTCCCTTTAGGAAAAGTGTATTTGGCCAAACCGCCTTTTCTGTTCGAGCTGCTACTGAGTGGAACCTCACCCCCATAAATTTTAGAAACCTAAACATATATAGTACATTTAAGATCCAGTTAAAGAAATGGCTCATTGATAATCAGAGCTGTCAACATTAGCTTACTACTACACCTGCTCTCGCTGCCCCCTGTTGGTTTTTTTGCTTTGTGTGTGTGTATGTTCATGTATTTGTCTGATGTTTGTCTGATTGTTGGTCTGTTGCATTTCTATTGTACATCATAACTTAACAGTACTTTTTACTAAATGTATTGTAATTGTTTTATTGTTATGTTAATATGTAATTTTATTCTCTTTTAGGATGACTATTACCATCTGTCTAGGGACTGCAGGTGAAAAATAGCCTTCTGGCTAATTCTGGCATATTGACAGAAATGTTTATTAATATGCATTGTCCCTGTAATAAATAAATAAATAAAAATAAATAAAGAGTTATTCTTTATAAAAGTTAAGAGTCAACCACGCCTACCTAAAACGGCTCGCGGGGCATAGAGGAGAAACAATAATGTAGAGTATGGGGAAAATAATGTGTTTTTTTAACCTTAAAGCGCATAAACACATTTCATTACACCAAATACACAAAATAATGTTCTTTTTAGCAACATCATATGACTCCTTTAAGCAATTTACAGCCAGATTCTGGAAGATAAATTCTTCAAACAGTGGTACAAGAGGGATGTGGTGCTGGTCCTTCAAGAGTCACTCTCAACTTATCTGTCTATAAAGCCTAAAAAAAACAGTCTTCAAGTACTTTACTACACTTCAGTATGTGATTCTTATGAAAGGCAGGGTAAGTGATTTCTGGTAGCCAAAGTTGACATTTGAAATCACCAAAACAAACACGCCCCTACCCCAAAAGGGTCTCGCCCCTATTTTGATAGGTAATTTTTTTTAGGATTTTATACTTAACCTAAGTCTCTGAGAACCTGACAGCTTGTACTTCTGGAGACTCCAGGTAGGTTGCAGTTCTGGAAAATGGTGGCGCTGGAGACTAAATGGTTCCTGGCGATTTTACATCTAATTCTTCACCTTAATTCCTAATTCTTTTGCAGTTAACATGCATCTTTTCTTCCCCACATGTTTTTGACTGACCCTGCTTACCCACTAAGCATTTTGCTGTCCAATGGTTATGCATTAACTTTGCAATTTCTAGTATTGCATTAGTTTTGAATATTTCTCATGGACATTTAATAATTTTTGACTTTCAGTTTGAGTTAAATCTCTTTTTTGGCTCAATTTATCTGTAAAAGAAAATCTGTTTAATAATTATGCACACCTGAATATAAGACATTTTTCACTTTCATGAATAATTATATATTAATTATAAATGATTAAATACAAGATCAATAGTACTTATTAAGATTGATGTATTTTGGATTCAGAATATCAACTTATACTGTATATGCACTGTATTTTTCCTCTTCTGCTGTCATGGTAATGCAAGGAATGTTGTGACTGGTTGTCAAGGCAGCCAATCAGAATTTAGCAGCCCCGTCTCTGATTGGCTGGAATTATGGCATATTGTAACGCTGGGTTGTGTTGAGCAAAGCGAGCCGTTGGCATTTAGAGAGCACTGAGGTCGGGCATCAAGGGAGCAATCTAGTGAAACATTGCACACGCAAAAGAGAAGGTCTGCACAAATCCAAAAACTTATTTTAAATGCTAAATTGATTTCCGTGCGCTCAAAATACTTTCTTCTTTCAAACATTTTCTCCACAAAACTCAGTTTGCGCGTGCAAAACGCACTTTTGTGCACTCAAACAATGATATTTGCGCGTAGAATTGTGGCAGAGATCTTATCCCATAGGGCCTCATTTATAATTTTTCTGTTTTATTAAGCTTTGACTGCTAGTGGACAACTGACAATAGGTGATGTTTTTATTAGTTCATTATTTATTTGTTTCTGAGTACCATTATTCATGAGTAAATTATTGTAGTTTTATTGTAGTGTTTGTCAGACATTTGTATATTTGTTAAAAGGTTACATGAAAATCTACATGAAGCAAAAAGCCTGGCTATAACGCAGTGCTTTGAGGGTCTTTTGCAGGATGATTATAATATATATACATATTTATTTATACTATAAAATATTATATATAAATAACAAAAATGCAAGGGCGCTAAATAAACAAAGAAATAAAAGTGCACTGTTTATAATACTGAATAAATATGCTGAAAAAAAATTAAAACAGATCAGATACAATTACAATATATTGGAACAAAAATATCTTACATAATTATTTCATATAAATACATAAAATATATAATATTGTAATATAATATATATAATACAATAAATATATATA